GCCTTCTCATAGCTTTGGCCTTTGGGGCGACCGAAGTTCAAGATCTTGACATGGCGACTGTCTCTGGCAGTGCCTCGGTCTGGTGTTGGTACAGGCGAAGCGGCAGTAGAAGCAGGTGGTGTACCTGTGCAGGAGGGTCGAGGACCCGGAGAAAAAGCTGCCTGTGCGTTGGAATCTGTGAAACTATATCCTCTGGCGGCCAGTTCACGATGGAGAGCATGGCACCTCGCAAAAGACCAGACAAATCTTCACTTGTAAGGTTCTCACCGGTCTCGTTGTGCTTGATGAGGGCCATCATACTGCTCATGCGGAAGACTTCTCGGGCCATTTGAGGAGTGAAACTCAAAGGAAGGTCTCTTTCGGCTGAGGATAAATGCCGTGAAGGAGCTGCTGCTGACTTTGGGCGGCCCATCCTGACAAAGCCGCAATCCAGACAAGTTTGCCGCGTCTGGAATCCATTTGTTCCCGTCCATGAAATGCGATGGTGTGGACAAAGTTCTTGTTCTGCAGTAGCCGGCAAAGGTGGTGGCGCTGACTTGGCCGGCGCTTTGGGCTCTGGCTTTCTGGTCTTCTCCAAGACTGCGCCACAGTCCACACATGACATCGTGTAGTACTTGTTGGCGCCCTTTCTCGTGGTCTTCTTGTGTTCACATCCAGTATCATGCTGACGAAGTGGTAGCGGAGGAACACCTGGTGCTTTCGAAGGAATGACACCTTGTCCAAATCCAGAAGAGGGTCCAGGTGCGTGTTGAGGTACAAGCTCAAAAGACATCAAGCTTGGGTCATAGATGCTGGGCTCATAGCCTTCAGATTCAACCTCCATGGCTTCCATGTCAGCGACCATGTGCAAAGCTGCGTGTAGAGCTTGTTCATCAATCTCATCTTGCGTGAGCAGGCGGCCACGTAGTCCTGAAGGAACCAAATGCAAAGACCTCTCAACCAAGACCCCAGTGCCAGCATCTTGTAACTCAACTTGTGCTGAATCGTTGCGAGGAACTCCAAAAGGAAGTTGAGGTGCCTGGGACATACCCAATGCCATTGCATCCTGCGCAGCCAACTGCGTTGGAGCAGCCTTAGCACGTAGTCCTGTAGGCGGACTGGCCGGAGGTGCAGTGGATCGTGGAGGGCTCTGAAAGCTTGAAGGTGGTGGTACACAAACTCCACGGCCTCGTGGATCTTCTTTCAAGGCCAGACCACACCATGCTTTCTCTGCTCTTGGATCGGGGACATCCTCTTGTTCTTTCACGCTGAAGTAGACCACTCTGGGTTTGTGCTTCCCAGAGCTTTTGCGTTTTCCACTCTTGGATGTAGAAGGTGGTGAAGTCGATGATGTGCTCGGTGATCTTCCAGAGAACTTGCCGCTGCCTTTTCGTGATCCTTTGGGACATTGTGGATCACCTGACCAGTGGCCTTCCTGATGGCAACGACGGCTTTCGGTCTTTGACTTCAGCTGCATCAAACGGGCCTTTCGTTCCTTGAATGAGAGCTGTCCAGAAACAAATGATGGGCCTGATGAAAGCCACCGTGACCCTTTCCTGAGGCTTGCTGCCTCACGATACTCAAGCTGGAGGGTTTCGGCTGCCAAGGCACATGCTTCCTCGTTTTCGATGTCCATGCCATTCTCGATGAGAAAGCACATGTGCTCTTCCAGGTAGATCTCAGCATCCTCTTCAACAACGGTCTCGGTGTCCTGGAAGTAGGCAGTATGATCCTCTTCAACTTCAAAGCCAGTGAGGTCCTGACTCTCCCATTCATCGGCATCTTCTGCCAAGTAGCTCCGGAAGGGCTTGTTGTGGCGATGTTGATGTCCTTGAGGTCGTGACCATGGGCGTGAATGGTTCCCATAGCCTTTTCCGCCACGCTGCTTCTCGAACTCATGGATCCTCGGGTGCCTTGGAGCATGGTTCTCACCATCAATCTCTGGTCTCCAGAGATTTGAGGGTTGGTCAAAAGCTGCTCAGCGAGGATCACATCCGGGATGGCGACGGCACTGTCCAGGCCTTTCAATGCAATCCACCAGGACCTTCTCCTGGTGATGTAACTTGACATCGATTCGCCTGACTGACGACTGAGGACGCCGCCTTCTTTTCGACCCGGCACTGTAGAGTTCGCGCGCCTCCTGAGATGCTCTTGGCTTCAGGGTGTCGTTGAACAGCTTCAGGAGTGTCTCAGGGCCTGACTGCTTTGCTAGATCCTCAGGCTTCAGCTGCTGGGCTAAGCGCAGGGCTTGTCCACGAAGTCCAACCAACCTCAAGGGGGCCAACTTTCTTCAGCTCGCTCTCTTCCATGCCTTTCTCGCGCAGCATCCTCATCTGGACGCGGAAAGAGTACTCTGAGGTATGCTTGCAGGAAGATTTTGAAGTCAGGTTGGTTCAACTCCCAGTTACAGTGCACCAAATCACATTTCCGTTGTGCCTGGCAGTTGCGCGCTTTGCACGCAATGCCTCGGTGAGGCCACATACAGGAGGTATCCCTGAGTGGCCCTTGCAGCAAGTGCCCAAAGCCCTGACTCAAAGTGAGATCGACATGTCAGACGGCCAAACTATCTACCCCTTTGCTGACTCGCCGCACATTACGAAAGAAGGGTTCATTCATTCTCCATGTCTCCAACCCTGAGCACCGGGCCAGGGTATACCGCCTCCTTCTGGTAGCTGAGCTGGCTCGCCTGAGAAGCGAGGGATCCCGAACTTGCCTTCGGAGTCGAAGGTGTCCTGGCTCGAAGCCAGGGGTGACAAGGGCGCCCCTTGCGGGGCTCCGCTGCCAGTGTTGAAACTGGTTTCAAGCGGCGAAAAGTGCACCTTTTCTCAAAGGCAGGCTTGAGCCAACCGAAGGTTGGCGAGGGTCAACGTGTCTCAACCGCGGGTTTCCATGAAACATAGCTTATCATGACATGAATGCAACTTCACTTTCACAAATGTGAAAAACCACAAGGAACCTGCATGTTACCAGGGGCAAAAATACAGAAACAAAACTAATACCAACAGGAGAGTTTAATAGAACTTAGAAGGTTCCCTAGGGGTTGAATTGGTTTTGGTGGTTATTTTGGGGCGCGCACCACGCAGAAAATACAATTATAGACCACAAAGGGGGCCCTAGTCATTTTATAGAGGTTTGGAGTTGCCTCCACCTACCTGTCCTTAGAAAGAAAAGACTAATACAATCAGGACACCTTTTATAGAATTTAGAAGGTTCCCTAGGGGATGAAGTAGATGTGGTGGCAGATTTGGTGTGCACACCACACAAAGAGCTGAAATTATAGACCAAAGGGTGGTGGGCCCTAGTCACTTTATAGAGGCTTGGGGGTTGCCTGCACCTACCTTTCCCTAGAATTTGAAAAACCACAAGGAACCATGGCTTTCCAGCGCTATTATGTCCATCAAAAGCAAAGTGCTCCAAATGGATTGACAACACAGTCCGTCTACGTTTTGAAAAGCACCTCTCCGGACTTCAGTACAAAATTGCTGATGTTTCTTTCAGCTTGCTGTAATACATCTGTGTCCTCTATACAATACGGACCTGACCCGCTCAAATGGAAGGGCGTAAAAAAATGTTTTGTGACCTACCATGACAACCCTCATTTCATGGATGAAACCTACACCGGTATATAAAAGCTATAGCTTTTGCTTATCATTCCAACTTCTCATTATGCATCATTTGTAGAAATCTGTTTCATGAGGTATCGAAAAAGGCAACGGTAAGCATACAAAATCTGTCATGCTCCTGCGCATGCACGTTTTCTCTGTAAAATGAACCCCTGACCCCGTTGAGGAGGGGGACCCTAAAACGTTTTAGGATGATGGTGGCACCCCCACCATTTTACAGAGCAAATGGACAGGAGGATGATGAGGGCATGTGGATTCGATGATTGCAGGGAATGTCAGCGGCCCAAAATGTAAATCTTAAGCTTCTAGAGTCCTAGTGATAGTTATGCACGCCTAAACCCGCACCCCTAAAGATCCAAAAGGAATAGACGGCAGCAGCTTTGAAAGCCCCTCTGAAGGCGGCCGGCGTAGCCCATGATGAAGAACCCAGTCGTGTTTGTGGGCGTAAGGGAGTGGTCACAGTTCGGAGTGGCAGTTTCAGGATGAAAACAACAGGAGCCCAAACTACATGCGCAAACCGTCCAATTGTAGGCACACAACATCTATGTATTACAATATGATTTACAATATGATTGGCTCACAACATCTATGATATCCAATATTGCCCCTCGCACAACCGTGGTTTTACAATATGATTTACACGTGAGGGGCACCCAAGGGACCAAACCTTCGAAGTACAATGTTGGCCCCTCCAGGACACCGACGTCCAGGCCAAAGGGATCACCGGGACTCCGGTCCATGCCACGAAAGGGGCCAAGCCCATACTATGCCCGTCCATATGGGAAAAGCCACAACCAATGGAAGACTGTTAGCAGTTAACATGTTTTTGGATTGAATCATATTCTATCTACTCCAGGATGGCAAATACATCTACAAAGAGCTTTTCTTCAGTTTTGAAGCCGAAGGTCCACTTGCACCCCTCGGGAGCGCCCGGGTCCTGGAGCATCGCCGTTGGCCAGGGCTTCTTCCGCTGGAGAATGCCTGGAGAGTGCGCAAAACAACTCACTTGGCCTGGATTGGACATAGTAGGGGCATGGTCCATCCGCGGTGATACTGATATCCCTGGCTAGAATCAGGTCAACAAGATGCAACTAGGCTAGGTCCTTCCTAACAAGCAATGCCCGATACTTAATTACTGCATATACTACGTATAACTATCATATCTATCATGCTACATAACACAAGCAGGGCGGATTGGGATGGACCAAGTAGTCAATTATAGACGTCTATTTGATAGAGATTTGTTTGGTGCACGTGCTTTCGTGTTTCACCAAGCTTCTTGGGTCGGCTGTGTTTGGTGTCGGGTCTCCCACAAGGTGGCACAAAAAGGTCACATGTACATGATGCGAACTGTTGCTCTCCATATCTCTCCATACATACCTGATAAAGAGATCAAGTGCTATGCCTCGCGCGTCCCAATAACATCGATCGTTTTATGGCTTGGAATGGCCGAATGCAGGCTGGGTATGGCTGGGTGAGACTTCTGCTTTTGAAGAGGTTTCAGCACTCTTGGCTGTGCTAAACGGGTAAACTGCATCTGGCAAAAATGGATATCATTCACAAACACAAATGAGCACTGATCGCCGGGCAATTCTGGATTTAGGCGTTGAACATCGAGATGGATATGCCAATCAAACATAAGAGTCCAGGTGCAGAAAGAGGTCGTTGACCTGCATCCATGTAGACAAAGATGTCGTTGGTAAGATTTTTTTGACCGTCCGCCCCTCCAAAAATGAGGATGCCCGTGTAGATCTCGCCATAGGGGAAACTCACTCCCTGGCAGCCCACTTGGTCTATCAATGTTGACACTTGATCTTAAAGATTCTCAACTTCCAAAACTCCCAAAAATATCCAAAAATATTGAAACCCTATAGGATCTACAAATGTTATTAAGTGATCGATATCCTTCAACGGTCAACACCATCAACCCACCTTCTTTAATGGGTAGGCGCCCAAACTCCCGAACATGGGCGGGACGAATCGATCGACCAGTGACCAGGCCCAGCAAAGGAGTCGGGGGGTTCCGATCATGTGAGCCGCTGCCAAGTTGCTGCTTGCCCATATCCGTAGAATTCCTTTGCCACCTCGATATCGTCGACATCAATCTTTTCTAATCTGTTTGGGTCGTAGTCGTAGGTTTCGGTCTTCTGGAATTGAACTCCACCGTCCTCTGTCCACTCGTAAATTCCACCGATGGCTTTGTAGGTCACATACTCTGTTTCACCATACTCTTCTTTGAACGGCAGCCTGAAAACAGTGGAATTCAGGATCGATCGCTCCCCAGCCGCCCAAAACCGAGTGAGACCGAGTGGTCGGAACAGTGGCCGTCGATGTGTTTTGGGCCAAAACTCCTCCGGTTTAAGAAACCTAAGAAAAAGACTTTAAGGAAAGTAATGGCAATGGCCACCAACATAATAGCAATGGCCTCCAACCTACTAGCGATGGCCTCCAACCCAATAGTTTTGTGACCTTTATATACTGTACAGTAAGACTCACACGCAAAAGGTCCTTAGTGTAATAAATAGTCTTTGGGGAGGTCCCACACTCAAAGAGCTTCACTGTAAGCGGCCGTGGTGCAAAGAGTGAAACGTCTTTCTGGCGCCTGTTCCCGTACGCGTTTGCAATGGCACCTCCTTTGAACCTTGTAGTGTTATTGAACAGTTTTGGGTCACAAAAAGCAGCAGGGTTTCTAACACATGTCAAAGCGCACATATGACACAGGAAGATGTTGCTTGTTAGAACTCACACATTTTTCGGTGCCGGCAAAGACACCAGGAATGAAGATGGTGCTGATATCCAAGACATACAAGTCAGATTCCAAGCTCCACACCGAACTGACCCAATCCCACTGGTAGCCCCCTTGCACGAACAGTAGTGTGGGATTGGACGGTGTCCAAGCAGTAGCATGACCAAACATCGGCGGTGTATAACCTGAATACTTCCTTAGCAACACAGCAACACACAGGATGGTCGTGCAAAATCGCTCCAAGCGGGGTGATTTTAAGGGGCCACTTGAACTCTGGGTCTGACATCGACGAAAAATTGTGACACCTTTTCACACCAATCTTTTGGACCAGTGGCTGGGTCCACTTCAACGTCTGGAAATCAAACAAATAGAAGTGGTCTGTTGAGACGGTATTGTTGCAGTCAAGCCCACCATAGACGACCATCCCGGACTGGGAGAGAGAAACAATGGTGTTGGCAGTGTGGAAATAAAGCCCGCACAAGTACGGCAAGGGGCTTAACTCCTTCCAGCCTCCGTCTGAAACATTTCTGCTCCACTGCCAAAGCTTGTTTGTGGCCACACTTCCTTCATTGCAGCTGTCCAAGCCACCAAACACCAGGGCGCTATCTGGCCCCATCCACACCACTGTATGGAGTGCTAAGTTTACTGGCGCTGGACCCGATTTGGCCCAAAGGACCATCAGATTGGCCAAGTTTACGACACCCCGGTGGACGCTGTTGGTGGCCGCTCCATCTGACAAGCACCCGCCGAACGTATAGACCTCGAAGCACTCATTTGGATCCTTGGTTTTACTTCTAAGGGTGGGCCAACCATACGAAACACCTAATTACACACCGGGTGATGGGGCCGCTGGGTCACTTGAGCACTCTTTTTGGAGAAATGGTGTCTACAGAATGGATGGCAAGAGAAAACATCTCGACAAACAAACTGGCAAGAGTGTTTCTTTGAAGCGCCAAGCCAGATGCAGCTCTGTCAAAAACAAGTGCAGCCTCTATACAATCAGAAAACCAAATCCCAAAACATGACAGGGATTGTCGAGAACCCAAGATGTGAAGCTGCGACAAAACACAAGTCAAAACAGGAATAGGCGCAAAACATTGGAACAACATTAAACAATCTGCATCTCCTTGAAGATATATAAGCATATAAGCAAATCGGTTTTATTTAGATTTCTTTAGTTTCTCTCTCAATAATACGCTGTACATATACGCTTTCTATATAAAGTGTTTTTGTAGGTGAACACCCAAATTATCTACGCAATGCGTTGCGAAATCGACACTCTGATAACATTGGTTCAATATAACGCAAAGCAACATCTTTAGTACAATAAACACAGTACGTCTTACAGCACCCTGCTCCTCAAAAACAATGCTTGTGAAGGGTTCACAGGCATGCAGCATGCCAACAAGGACACCAGAACAAACAAAAACAAACTCTCTAAACTGCTCTCAAAGGTTCCCCCAACACTGAGAAAACATACACTCTCTATAAGCTCAGCGCAACATACATTCTTCAGAGTCAAGTTAGTGGCGTTATCTGGCGTTTACAAAGGACCATTCACCGGGATAGAACGAGTATTCACTTGTAATGTCTCGGCATTGGTAAACTGCAATACATTGGATGAGATTGTTGGGGGTTCTCCCACAAACAACAAAAAAGCACATTACAGGCTTCGCAGGTCGCTTCCGTCGAGCTGAAATGCACCATCGCAGACCAAATAACCGGCTCGATGGGCGAGCTCGCCTGTGCCAAGAGATGTGAAGCTGTGGAAAAACACAGAAACCCCACACGTCAAACTTGTCTGCTTGTAGCAAAGCCGAGCAAAATGTGGCCAGGGGAGGAATGACGGCAGATGAGTAGCAAATGCATATCAGCTGATGATAGAGAAGAGCGGGCACGCTGCTGATAATTCCATTGGATCTGTCGCTCTCTTCTGGATACCACTATCAATAATTTATCTATCCTTCAAGCAAGAAATCCACTGCAGTTTCAAGCAGCAGAAAGCCGCAAAGCAGCAGTGAGCAGCAGCGACGACCAAACAGGAATCAGCAGCGGACCACGCCAATGCAACCCCCCCGCAGAACAACAAAAAGGATCAAAAACACGAGAAAGCAACAAAGGAGCAGCCAGGAGCAGCGGCAACAAGGGAAAGCCAGCGGCGGACAACAGTAGATTACCCTAGAGCAAATGAGTCAGAATGAGTGTGAATTGACTGAGACTGGGATGAATGAGAGTGAGTTGGGTTGAGTGACATGGAAGAGAGGGAGTGGGAAGGAGTTTGCACGGTCAAAACAAGAACACCAAAAAAACATTAAAAAAAAACAATTGGTCGAATCCGAGGCGCTGGATCCACGTCCAACCGTTGAAAGCCCGTCTCACTGCTGAAACGATCTTGGATCAAGTTGCTGCTGAGGCAGTAACACAAGGCTTCATGGGAATGAAACTTGTTGCTGGAACAATCGATTCCTGCAGGGTTTTCTCCATTGTAGTAGTAGCAAACGAAGGGATCTGTCTGGGCCCAGAAAGGACTGCCTGGATAGTTCCTTCCTTGAGATTCGTTGCAAGGCTTCCCCAAGATATCTCTCATCACTGCAAAGGCTGACGCTTGATCATTCACTCCGGCCATGGCGTCCTTGTCACACTTGTCGACTCCGCACACGGTGTCACAGGGTTGACCTACAGGAGAGAAGGTTATTTTACCCGAAACCAGGGAGATCAATACAGTGAAATTACCCAAATATCCGAGAAACTCTTAAAATTGAACGTATTATTGAGCGCCTGGAACGGAAAACTGCCAGCCGGTGGTAGGCAGCATGCTGGTTGTTGCGTGACGTTGTTGTAGGCGTGGTCGTCCTAGTTGTTGCTGTTGAGGTTGTAGCCGCCGTTGTGGTTGTATAGTCGTAGCAGTAGCAGTACTAGCTGGCATGGCTGCTGCGGTGCAGTAGCAGATTCGTTGGTGGCCTGTAGGCGGAATTCGAACAGAAACTGGCACCAACGATTCTCCGCAAGCCATCTCACTTTCCTGCCATCAGCAACAATTGGCACCAACAAATCCAAGTGACGTATATCGGTGGTGTCAGCACTGCAAGTTGTCTTTCCTGACGCCCTCCAGCACGTCTGACTACTATCGATCTCTGGACTGTAAGGATTTGGGTAGCTGTGCACGCTTGCGCATTGGCGGCCCAAGCTGGTTGAAATTGCCATGAGTTCGTCGCCTCAGCGCGGAATGACAGCCAAGGATTGACACCAAATACATCCAAGTATCCCTACTACCTTAAGTGGTGTAACCTAGGAGGTGGGGTCCAGCAGTGTGCTGGCACCTAGGAGGGGGGGTCAATTTTATTTCCTGATGTCATTTCCCAATAAATGCACGTGTATGGTCATTGCTTAGGGTAACAGCCCATAAGAATACTCACTCGGGCAAACTGGGTCTGCGTCGCTGTGCTACATTGTTCCTTTTGCAGGCGCGACGACATGTTCCGGTCGCCGAAACGGTTTGAGAGCGGTGGCCCGCGCTGTTTCGGGGCTGCGGCGAAGGTATGTAAAACCATGTAAAACCTCTTCACAATAGAGGGGGTGTTTATGGTTCAACTGATGCTCCAAAGGGCACTAAGCCAAAAAAACACCCCAACCGTCTATAAACATGCTTGCCAAATCTTGCCAAGTACTTGTGATCCTGTCTTTAGGACTAGGGGTCTTGGACAAACATCTTGGACTGGCCTAGTGACCTATGTAACCAAGCGAGTGTGAATTGTTCCCACCTTCCCTGCTTGAATTCCGTGGACCTAAGGAATAACATAATCATTTGTGATTTCATATTCAATTTTTTCAAAAAACTGACGGCACGTCCACCTCAATTTTTGTTCTAAGGTGGTAGGGATATCCAAGCATTGGAAACTCTGCGATACGATAGGCTATTTGAAACATGCAAACTTAAGAACAAAAATGCAACTGTATTCAAGGGATGCTGACTTGCTTGTGGAAAACATTGGAACAAATAAAAGGAAGTTTGCAACACATCCATGTCGCTCGTCACCGATTCCTGCTTCGTTAGATCACACAGACCGACTCCACAAACATCATCGCAGCTGCCTCCTGACAATGAAAGGGGTCCTTCTGAAGACCCTCCACGATGGAATAAAATCCCCAAGGAAACGAACAGTGCCTTGTCTGTGATGTTTATGTGTATATATATATATACGTATATAATAAATAAAAGGGAAGATGGATATCTATATTTACTCTCTCTCTCTCTCTCTATGTATATATGTGCACCCAACCCTCGGTGTCGGTGGCTTTCGATTTTAATAGCCTTTGCGCAAAAGTTCTTTTTCCCCAAGCAGTGTGGACTCACTAGGGGTTCTTACGGTGGTGGAAGAGCAGCTGTGCTTAGATCGGTGCGCCGCGCGGGCGTGTCCGGCTAATTCGCTGCTATTTACAGTGCATTCATGCCTCTCGAAATCGCCGAAGTGCATTTCGACTGCGCAGGCTCGCAGAATCTGATTGGGCGAGGAGGGTGCTTCTATCGACTGTACTTTGTGAACCTCGAGGTGCAGATGTCGGCGCAGGCGAAGCACTTTGTGGTGCTCTCAAATGCTCACTCTACTCACATTCACTCACTCTCCCACTTCCACTCACCCACTCTCACACACACTCACTCACACCCACCTTCACTCTCACTCACAACTCACTCTCACCCACACTCACTCTCACTCACACGCACTCTCACTCTCACTCACACTCGCGCTCACACTCACACCCACTCACTCTCCCACTCCCACTCTCACTCACACTCACACTCCCTCACACTCTCACTCTCCCACTCCCACTCACACTCCCTCACACTCTCACTCTCCCACTCTCTCTCGCTCACGCTCACACTCCCTCACACTCTCACTGTCACTCTCGCCCACACTCACTCTCACCCACACTCTCACTCTCACTCACACTCACTCACTCACCACCACCGCCACCGTCACCACGATCCCCACCTTGATCACCACCATCACCTCTCTGGACCCCAATGCGTCTAGATCTCTAGACTTTCTGCTTGTAGACCTCACACACACTGTTTGGGGCCTCTTGCCGGGATCATTTGAAACTTTCCAACGTCTCTTTCTGAGGTCCAACGGCTTTTGTGGCTCATGTCCATGTATTGGGACTTGTGCAAAGGACATGGTTGGTTTAATGTGGGTTTGATGAGCCTGGGAGGTCATCTAGCTGGCGCCCCTGATAGGATGGGAAGGCAAGAATGGTTCTTGCGTCCTAAGAACTATGTACGCGTTCTGAAAAAGTGCTTGGAACATCTTGGAACAAACCTCCATTTTTGGCCGCATTGTACTCCTGTCAGTCATGTGCATGAGGTTCTACATCACCTCTACAGAAACGTACTGATCTATAGAAGCCCAGTTGCAAAGCGTGAGCCTTTTTGGATGTCTTGATTCGGTGTTTGACGTGTGTGTGTGTGTGTGCCTGTACCCTTCCGAGGATGCAACCTTGTTTCACACATACGTGAGGACTTCTTTAACTCTTGGCTGGCCTTTTGTGTTAGCGCTGTACTACATGACACCTGAAGTGGTAACACAGACCGGGGGACATCCGGGCCACCACCCTCACGTCAGATCATCCCTTGATCTTTTTCATCCTTCCGCCGGCGGTGTTGAATTCAAAGAAAAATCACTTCATTGCGCGCTTTTTGCGCTTCTGTCCCTGCTTCCTTCCACGTCCCCCTGGCCCACCCTTTGGGTGAAGCTCAAGAGTTTGTAGCGGGACACGGAGAGACTTCTGGAATTGTCGCTGGTATGGTTGGGCTGTGCCATTAAAAGCCAGCTTCAGTTCAGCGAGGACAGCTAAACCTTCGTTAATGTAAATTCTTGCCGTTTTGCTGGAGGCCCACCTCCCTGAACTAGGAGGCGCCTAAGGCTGTAGGGTCGGAAGTCGTAGCTGTCTGGCTGACAGGCTAAAAGGCACTCATTAAAAGTTTTCCGCCAGGAATGAGGTGTTCCACATAGGGTTGCTGGGGTCTGAGGTGTGTTCAACCACTGCCACAAGGTGTCTTCTTCCCGAATTGTGACACTTTCAGCAGCTCCAGCTCTCTTTCCGCCCTTTGTAAGGCCTAGGAAGATTACTGCTGGGCTACGAGGACCTGACTGGACGACGTGCGCCTTTTTTCACTCCACCGGTACGCAGGAGCCCATGGAATCCCAGGAGCAACGAAAGGGCAAACAGGGGTTTGTCAGTGAACAACGCGTAACCAGCTAGGACATGAAGTGCATCCAGAGGTAGTGGCGGTGCACGGTTCGGGAGCTCATTTGACGACCATGTTTTCAAAAGCCGCCATGCACTGGGCAAGTGCCCCCGAAGAAATGGATGAAAATCTTGAACCGCCGCAACGGTATCACAGGCGATTCGACCCTCGCCAGTCTCCCTAGGTTCTCTATGTAGTGCGACAGAACGTAGTCCTGGCCTGCTGCATCTCGAGGATATGGTCTGTTCTCTTCTCGAAGAAAATTGCGATAGCGCTCCATAGCTTTGTCGTAACGTGCTCTTGTTTTGCTTTGAACTGTGAGATTTCGAAGTGGTCCTAATCTTCGCCTTTGTGCTTGCCTTGCTGCTTTACTCCTACCTTCTAAGTGAGCTCCTGACTTCCTCACCATTTCTTCTTAACCGGCCGCCTCGAGGGGCGGTCTGCAGGGTTTTGTGAAGTATGGACATACGCCCATACTCCATGACTCCCCGAAGCTAGGAGTAAAGCGTCAATTCGACTCAGGGTCCGCCTCATCTTCCGGCTGCTGCTCGGGCCCCGAGCCAAACAATGCAAGCGCACAAGACTATCGATCATATGCACCATCTTCGTCCGAAAAGCACGTCGCTTGAGAATTCGCCATCTAATACTGGTGAGAACCGCCCTCAGCTCCAGGACGTTGATATGTTCAGGTGATCCTGACCATCGCCACCCCATGACTGTACGCCACCTCCACAGCTTCGCAAGAAGGCTTGCTCTCAACCTATGGTAGCGAAGAGTATCTTCAATTCCTCACAAGAGTTTGCTCCCCGTTTGGCGACCCCTGCTTCCTCCCCGACTGCATAGGAGGCAGAGAAGTCCAGCTAACTCACGCGAAGCACCAGGAGCTGTCCTGTCAACGGCCTGCTGAGGCGAAAGGAAGGAGCACAACCCCAACTGGCCTCCAAGCTGCAAGATCAGCCACGTAACAACTGTGACATTCCACGAATTGCCAATCAACGTTTTTCTTTCATCCAAATGCTGAGGCGAGCCTTGCCATTGCTTGGCCATGCATTGCATAGTGTAGTCCCTTGGAAAACCCATGATGACTTCTCTCTCCTGAATGTCTGGTAGTCTCGGCTGCTTCTTTGCGTCGAAGATCGTGAGTTTCTCCTGGTACTGGTACGGCGGGAAGCGGAATGAATCCTCCTCCCACCAAAGCCTCTCCTGAGGGTTCAACCTGTCCAGACCTGCTGGCCGCCTACCTGCATAGTCCCTGGGCCTTGACGTAGTGAACGTTGGGAATGGTTCAGTGGAAACTTTGCTGCATCCTGGCTGCAAATAGCTCTGCGGTGTCACCTCTGCCTGGAGCTCGACTTTCCTGAAGGCAGAGTCACCTGAGCCCTCTAAAGGTCCCACAGAGACTCCCGGACCTGACTTCAAGTCCCAATCAAACCAATACAGTCTGGGTCGCCGAGCAAGAGAAACGCCACTAGCATCAAGTTGAACTGGCAAGTCTCCAAAAGACCTTGTCATCACTTTTCGATCTTGGGAGTCCATACTGGCCACACTTTCAGCCAGGTAGCGCGCCTGGGCCCATTTGAACTGCTGCCTCACCATCTCCCGGATGCGCTCGACATGAATGAATAAGGAGCTACGGTGGTCCCGCAATGCTCCCCGGCGATCAACATTTAGCCCGCTCACACCTTGGCACGGAGGGCCTGCTCCAACGAGAACAAGAGAAGCTTGAGAAAACTGGCAAGCCCACCGCCGCACTTCCTCCTCCACGACGTCTTCAACACCTCCTTCAACAAAGACTGTGGCGGGGAACTTGCTCTCGAGAACCCGACTGGCTGTCTTGTTCACCTCCACGCTGATGTCTACTACCACCGCTAAACCACATGCGTCCGCCGCTACGCGGAGTGCACCTATGCCGTCAAACAGACCAATAGTGAGTACTCCATGAAGGTCGTGTGGCTCTGCTAGGTCCCCTCTGGTGGCTGCCTCCGAAGCTGCTACTCCAAACCCAGTTAGCCCCGTGCTCACTGTCAAACCACCACCTGAAGTAGACGCATCACCGCAATGACTTCTGACGAGACCCCCAACCGAAAGTCCAACCGCGCTAGAGGGACAAGGCAGAGCTTGACCCCATCAGGAATGGGCAGTTTGATCATGGGGGGATATCCACGAAACGCCTCGATGAACCTCCAGATGTGATTCAGGGAGCCCAGAAGAGGCCGCCTGAACATACTCAAATATACAAGGCCCCCGGCAATGACTTGCGCCTGCTTCTGACTGCTCATGTTCTCCCTCAGGAAAAGAATCGACAACCCAGTGTACTTGTAGACCTTGGAGGGTTTGGGGTACGCGATACCTAAACCACCATCAATGATCGCCCCCCTGCACTTCAGCCACGAGGGAACGGGAGACCGCCTTCTTGGGGTGACGCGGGACTCCCCGATACTGAGCCCTCAAGGCCACAATGCCTGGGCTGCACTCCCCGTCCAGGAGTCCCGGAGATCCCTTCAGCACTTTCTCCAGCTGATCAAAGTTGTCGAGATAGATCCGATGAAGCACCGACGACGATGAAAACGGTCTGTGCTTTCTCACCTCCTGTTCGGGTTGGAGACCCTCACCTGTCCGGACAGAAGCCATCCTGACGATGTTCCTGTGAACGTGCTGTGCCAGGCTGACCGAGTTCTTAAAACCCATAGGCAATACCTGAGACGCGATGTAGTATGGCCCGTCCTCTCCCTGCCACATGTCCTGAGGCAGTGGCTTGTTGAAGGCCAGGAAGGGGTGCCACTCACGAGGCACCCGGAATTTTGTAGAAAAAACAGCGCGCATCTTCAGAGGACACTACCAGGTCCTCTGTAGGCATGAGTTGAAGAGGCCCCATAGTTGCCCAACTGGGTAGGGTGGCTACGTCGCCCTCCAGGCCCCTTGCATGGTCTCAGATCCATGATGAGCCTATGTACAGGTACCCCGTTCACGATCTCGTCTTTCTTGACCCCAAAAAGGCCGTTCAATAGCGGCTGCCCATCAATGTGGTAGACCTGGCTCTTTGGGAGGATGGTGCACACCCCATTTCTTGTCAATCCTTCGCACTTCACGCCAATGATCATCGCGCACTAGCACTCGTGGGCTCTTCATGGCATGCTGCATCTCCCCGGGAAGGAGATACTCCGCAAAGTTCTCCACGTAGTGCCTACACCCCAATTCACAGACCTCAGCCAGCTCCACTGAGGCTATTTCGGCGGGCATAGCTGGCGCCAAGTTGGCCCAACTCGCTGACTGGGCACAAAGAACCTCATCTCCACAGTAATCAATGGTTTTCAGGTGAAAGAACTCCTGCCACGAGGTCTGCTCAAGTCGTTCTGGCCACTCAGACGTCACTTGAGCCTCCCTAGCTAGATGCCTAACAGCCTCAACCTGAAGTGAAGTGGGGTGGAAGGCATTCTCAGCGGCCACCCCATAAAATAGATTCAGCGCCAAGCGCATCCCTCTAACCATTCCAACAATGCCCAGGTCCAAACCCGTGAGTCCCTTAAGTGCAACGTGTTGGTGGGCAATGGAAAAACATCACCCTTGGGCTGGGTCTTGCATCGATTGTCCAAACCTACCTTCGGACACAGAAGAACCAACTCGTTCACTAACCAAGGGACAACCTGAATCAAACTATCCCCTGCCACCGGCGGCTGCATGCAAACTTTTTCCGCAGACAAGGTCATCAACGAGGTCTCAACTGCGGAGAGGCGTGAAGGATCGGCCGGACTACCCAGCCAAGCGCCCCTGTGGTGCTCTGGTCCAGCTTCGTCGACGTGATCGCTTGGCTTCAGAGCTGCTTCAAAAAACTTGCCCTCCTCTTCAAACGGGGCAACATAGACTGAGGGCGGACTCCCTCCTGTACCTGGCAATGGCGACGCCTTCCTCCTCACTTCTTTTGCTCTCCTTTGTCCTTGCCACGCTTGCCTTTCCCCTTTGCTTCTTTGCCTTTTCCTTCGCTGCCATAGTCTCGCCACTGCCAATTGTCCGACTTGCTTTTGCCCTTGGATGCTTCGTTGCGGGTGCGCTGGTCTTCTTTTTGTTCTCTGATTGCCTCCTTTGCTTCCCCCCTTGATGAAAGGAGGGGTCTTTCTAGTGGCAATACCTCGAGCCGCTGCGCGATATGCCATGCAGATCCCTGCAAGACCATCTCCACCGACTTAAAGCCTCTGAACCAAGGCATCGACGCATTCTGCCACCCTGCCTTGTAAGGCTAGATCGATGGCCCAGCATAGGGTCAGCCCTTCTCAACCTGGTCCGCCTTGGAGACGAGGTGCCAACGACTGGCGGTAATATTGGCATGCCAGAGGTTGTATTGCCGTCTGATCTTGATGCCACACTCCACCTGTTGCCGTGAGCAGGCGGGTCTGCATTTCCCGCATAGCTAGAGCCGCTAGGACCCCCGGAGCTCGGCGTGATAGTCGACGGACTTTCTGCTGCTCCTCGAAGACTTCTACGGACTCTGAGGTGCTCGTCTTGTCGCCCGAGGAAGAGGAGTCAATCTTCTTCTTCTTCTTCTTCTTCTTTTGAGCCTTCACGGCAAAGCGGCGCCGATAGCGGGGGTCTGGATCTAAGCCTGTCCCGCCAAACACCTCCTTCAGGCCTTTTCGAGCTCCGGCCTTCAAGTCGATCTTCTCCTTGCTCTTCTCTGGGCTCTCGCTCCGACCTTCGCTCCTCTTCCTCTTTCTCTTGTCCTTCTTCTTTTCTGTCTTCTCCTCTCCAGCCACCGCTTTTGTTGCTGCAAGGCGCAATGCCTCACCTTCCAACTCACCGTCACCCTCTGCTCGTCCAGCCTCTCTCACCGCTGGGCGTCCTCCTCAATGCCCCTCCCCGTGCAGGAGGTGCCCTTTCCACAGCCGCAGCTGGCCGACGCTGAGGTGGCATCGCCGGCTATAGCTCTCAGAGATCGTCTCCTTGAGCCCGGTAATAATGCCTTTCACGCTTCTTTGCACCCTTGTTGTCACCAAAGTACCTTGGCTGCAACTTCCACGAAGGTGGCCTTCCGTCCCACCGTTTGACTGCTGGCCTGATGATAGGCGGGGGTCCTTGCAGGAGGATTGTGCCTCCCCGGAGGTGATCTGGATCGTGTACGTGGAGGTCGAACTGATCTAGCTCTCAGGTCGGTCGGAACTGGCTCCGCCCCAGCCCGATCTGGTTCGCTTGGTGCCTCCTCTCTCGAACTCCTTCTGCGCCTTCTCCGACTCCTTGACCGAGTCTTGCTGGCTCTCTTCTTGTCTCTCCTGCCTCTGCTTCGTGTCTTGCTTCTCCTCCTTGACGGTTGATCTTGATCTCGATGATGACCTTTCGAGGAGCTGGTATGTTTGCCTTCCTCTTCAGCCTCACCTGGACTCTCCTCCTTCTGGTCGGGGCTTCTTGTCTCTTCCTCCTCGCGTTTTGGCGCCACCCACGACTTGTCTGGACGTTCCTCTCCTTCGCCTGGCTCTGCTCTCCCCGGACCAGGAGATGTGGTAGAAGGCGGGCTTTTCGCCTTGGGAGCGGTTGTCTTGCCTGCCTCCTCTTGCAAGCGGATGTGCTCTTGGCGCTTGTCGGCCTCTTCCTGGAGGATGCTTGTCCAGATTCTGAGGCTGTTCACCGCCCAACCTCTAAGAGACACAGGCAGCTCGTCCAGAATGAGCCAAAAGCGATTCCTCGTCCGGCAGAAGCTGCACAACACTTCGCGCTCCCCGCAAAGGTGGGCTACAGTCACGGCAGGGCATCCGCTGAGAGCCAAACTCTATCGGCGAAAATGATTCCGAACCCGGTCGTCTTAAATTCCGGGGGCATCACATCATATATATTATCCATGTCAATATACAGGGGCGGGGGTAAAGGTCATTTTATAGATAGGAAGTTGCAGGGCCAAAGGAGTAGGGGATATAGAGTGGCTGAGGAAGAATGCTTTTGTATGGAATGCCATTGGCTGACACTTGTCAGCAAGCAACACTGTGAATCTCTGACTTGCAAAAGGAGGAAGGAGGAGCAGGGAAAGGAGAAGCTAGGGTGTTGACTTGCATTCCTTGCGTTGGCCCTCGCTGGATTGCCTATATGTCGTGTTAGAATCATTTCAGATTAGTTCAAGGGGTTCGCCCCTGGTAGGTCTGAAAGGTGCATGTCTGGTAGGTCTGGTAGGTGCATCAATGCAAATGCTTCTATGGTTACCTCCACTGGTGAGGCCACATTCTTTGGTGGACACATTTTATGGACACATTCTTGATCCTTTTCTTTTGTGGGGCCACATTCTCCTGCCATCGCAGTTGTGCTGGGATGAGCCCCAAAAAAATCTTGTCCGATGACCCATTCATGCAAGTACAGTTGCCCTTTCTGAGAAGAGGAAGGAAGAATGCTGAGGGCCCAGAGGAATGTGTGTTGCCAATTGAGCGTGGTGATGGTAGTATAGCAGCATCAATAGTAGAGATAGTAGTAGCAGTGCGGAATAGGTTTGGTACTGCTGTGGTAAAAGTAGAAAGTAGTAGTGGTGTTAGTAGTGGTGGGCCAAATCATATTTATATAAATGATCAATGGTTGAAAGGGTCAGCCCCCATTCTATAGAGGGATAGGCGGGATAGGGTAAAGTGGTCTGCTGATTGTAGTTGGTAGATGTCGGCTAACATAATCTTGGTCCAGAAGGTCAACCCTCCTTTTTATAGAGGGTACCATTTTGTCGAAAGTCAGGCAGGTAGATCGTGGTCGGACACTGAAAGGCTGAGTTGAAGGGACTTGGGATAATCAAAGATCCCATGAGAGGACAAACAAACAAATTTGATGTTGTGGTGTCCCATTCCCTTCGCCAGGAGGCATCTTAATGTTGAGACCCGGGGTTGCCAGTTACAAGTTTTCTCACCAAACTGAGGGACCGTGTTATTGTGAACACGAAGGACAACCATAACGGCTTCTCCTTTCTTGGGATAGCGATTGCCGTTTCTTTTCTCCGCTTGCGTCTTCTGAGATTTATGTTTTTGCCACTGGTTGGAGCCAAATCAAATCGCATGTGAAATCCAGGGTCAACTCTCCCCTGAAGGGGGACCCATGAAGCATTTTATAAATCACCTGGACCCCCCTCATTTTATAGAGGAAATGTAACGGGATGTAACGGGTATATATTGTATATATCATTATAGATCTTTGCCAAACCCTATTTTTTAAAAACATCTTTTAACCAACCAAGAACCCTGGTCGTATTTCTTGAGCCAGTGGATCACATCAACAAGCCTCCAGGCCCGAGCGCCCAGTTTTTATCAACACCACCGCTCGAGGTTGTGGCTGCCGCGCTGGTGGTGGAAGTAGAAGTAGAAGTAGGCGTGGTCGTAGTCGTAGGCGAGGTCGTCGTTGTAGTGGTCATCCTTATAGTGGTCGGCGTTGTTGTGGATGTCGCTGCCGTCGTCGTGGCTTTAGCTGTGATTGTAGTAGTGGGCGCGGTAGTACTTGTTGTTGCTGGGGGTGTTGTCGTAGTCGTTGTCAAAGTAGTGGTAGGCGCAGTCCCAGTCTCCAGAACCGTCACACCTTCGATCAAAGCAGCAGCATTGGGCTCTGCGGCCGCAGGCAAAGCTGCAGCCACATTAGTGTTACTGCAAACCGCCTGCAGCCTCGGTTCAACATTTATCGCGTTAGCCGCCTAACACACATGTCAAATAGCCAATCCAACAGGAGAACGGGTATTCGTTCTGCTCCTCTCAAGTTCACCGTGCCACCAACCGCCGGGTGATAAAACTGTGTTATTCTTATCATTCCATCATTTATCGTCAAGAAAGTTTTCAAACAGCTCAAAGCAAGTGAATGCTCAATCATGCTCAATCACTGTATATGATCTGTATGTCCAAGCTAGGTATCTGGATTGGCGATGCAAGTGAATGTTCAGTCTACATGTCCAAGGTAGTTACCGGGTTGACCGAGCTAACAAGTGTCACCATGTAAACCAGCAACTCAGTCAGCATCTCATAGATGTTGCCCTCTCCAAACACAGGATCTGCGTAGGACGAGAGGTAGCGACAACGCTCTGCGAGGTTCTTGGACACTGAAAACGTGGCAGCCTGAAGGAGCGAGCTCCCAGAATTGGACAATCCAGCCACTATAATGTCCAAACCACTCTTCAAGCCTTAAGGCTTGAACACAAGGCTTTTCCAAGGCCGACCCATGGCTTGCCCTTCAAACACTTTTTGCTCAACTCAAGAAACAAAAAGCAGTGAACACTGTGGTAATACAACAGAAACAGTTCATCAAGAGGCCAGCGTTGTTGCCAGTATAGGTGGCATTGGCCTTGTAGCTGATGACAAACTCCGTCACCAGCGAGAAGGTGCCTGAGACACTGAACCATTTCTCGTTGAGATCCCTGACAAGCTGAGCTTCGCTGCCGGCCAGGCTGTCGGCCACCGTTGACCAGGTCGAATGGAGCGCTCCTGAGGCCATTACTGCACGCAGAAAAGGGCCCTGGCTGATGTTTTTCACGCCTGGCCTCCCAAACAAATCTTTGGAATGGACAAAAGAAAACCGTCAGAGTCCAGGGCTTACAGATGCTTGAACAATCCATAGGGCTTACAAACATCAAGGCTTGGTGGGTAAATTTCTGGCATTGAGCACACCTATTAGACCAATGAACAGCTCCCGGTCCCTCCTCTGGACTTCTCCAGTGCTTTCATGAGCTCCATGACCCCGGGCCAAGTCGTCGTTGACGTCGTCCCTCTTTGATACCTTCGTTGATGTCGTCGCTGCTGTCTGCCTGAGCTGGCCACTCAACCGAGCCATGTTGTTTATTGCGTGAAGTATGCATAAATATGCCAATATATGTTTCTAACAAGTATAGCAGCTACTGAACCTTTGAGCGTGCCCAAAATTCCCCTTGGGCGTCTGTACGTGTTTTCGCGGCCTTGTACCTCTGATTTTGGAGGTTTGAGGCTGCCGGTGATGGGAGAAGTGCACACTGGAGGGGTGAGCAGCAGTGGCAGGGTTACAAACAAAAGGGTACTTCTTACAAAGGTAGCCTGCAATTATTGGCATATATATATGTTTGTCTCAGCTCCACTCCGAAAGACACTGGCAGCTTCATTTTCCTTCTTCTGCCCATGCAAGATCTGTACGGCAACGTCGCGTTCTCTAAAAAAGTCGGATGAGTCCAGCATCTCCAAGCAGCGTTCAAAGGCCTCCGTGGAAGATTCCTCTTCCAAACACAGGAGAGAGAGAGAGAGAGAGAGAGCAAAGCAGCTTTCAAAGGCCTCCTTGGAAGATTCCTCATCGAAACAATGTAACAAAGGAGAGAGAACAAGTTGCTGATCCACTGTGATCAGAAGCGTGACGGGTGCGAGGGCACGGCCGAGAATGCGTCCAGCAAGTAGCCATGCTGTCTTCTATCAAAGAAGACCCGTGGCAGCATCTTTCAAACATGGAAACAGAGACCCAATGCGTTTCAGCTTGAGCTTCACGCAAAACTGAATTGGTTCAAGGACGGACAGCGCTGCAGTCTCTTGCAAGTAAGATTCCAGTGTGGAAATAGAGCGCAGTCTAAGCCGCCATAAAATGGTGGCAACTTCAACTTCGTTCTTGTACAACCAAACAGCTGCGCCTCCGCGTAAACCACCTGGAGTAAGTCTGCAAGAAACAGGAATCTCTGCAATCTGAAGAAGCCTATCCCACCGACGCCGAAAAGCTGATGGCGAAGCTGGGTAAATCAGAGTGTCAGCTGGCAGTCTGAAATAAATGCCTTTCAAGATTGCGACGGCATCAGGTTCCTGAATTTTCATGTGCTGGGCTTTCGCTGGTTGGCGTCCAAAGCTATTGAACTTTTTGAGCGAAAGGAAAATGCACTCATACCCTGAATCGAGCACATCCTGGGGAAACAAAAGGTCAGTTCTACGACACTTAAGGATTTCACCAACCCTACCAGCTCCGTAAAAGGCAAGGAGCAATACTCCAACAAATCTATGCCAGCCAAGCTGCCATGCTAGAACACATAAAGCCTTCAAAAGCCCCTCAGGGATGGGGGCCTATGTACTACCGGCTCAGTGAGCTCCCACTTGGAGACTAGGTCCCAGGCCGGCTGTGTGTGTGCTCTATACACGAAGGCTGCCATCGTTGACAGGCAAGAACGACGACATGTCGAAAATTGCTAAGGGCCCCGCCGTGCTCGAACTCCCAGATTCCAAACGAGCACAAAGCCATCACAAGGAATTGTGGGACCAAACTAAACACATTTTCAGGCTCAACCGATCAGATGCGCCCGCGGGTCCATGAAAGAAACTTTTCCAAGGCTCGCGACTCCAAGGCCAACGTGTTGTTGGACAAAAGCTGCACCTGAGATATGTCGACGGCAGAGCGAGACCGAACACGTCTGGGTCCGGGTTTCTTTGCTTCCCCAATCCTGAAGCACCCGGCTCTGGCTGTTTCAGGAATCAAGAGCCTAACAGATCCTGACCACCCTGAAAAAACACAAGCAGCGGAGGCAAGTAAAAAACTCACTCCACGAGGATACGGCTGTGCAACAAGGCTCCAAGGCTTTTTGTGCAAAGTCGAATTTCCCCTGAGCTGCTGGTGATTGTTGCTACAATGACACCAAACCCGCAGTCCTCTGAGTAAAGGGAGGTTGGTGCAGATTCTGGTGGGCTTTTTCCAAGGTGTCCCAAACCTACAAAAACACAGCCTGCAGATGTCTGGACTGTCAGGGCTCCTATAGGCACAAAAATTCTTCTGGCGCCACCACCATGAAGTGTCTGGATTTTCGATCCAAACACCAACGCCAAGCTTCTCGCACAAGTTAAACAACTTATAGTACGGGAAACTATTATAGAAGATATTTAAAAAAAACATTTTCGAACAGAAGGCTGCGCATTCCTCCCGTGGCAGGGTTCCGGGTCAAATAGAAGAAAAGCGTCAAGATAACAGGTTGATAAACGTGCTCACAAACAGGTCTTCAAATAGAAGAAATAGTATTTTTGGCGCAAAATACGCATGAGCCGCCCGCTCTCTTGTCCTTGCGCTCTCCCTCCCTCCCTCCCTCCAGCAGCTGTTTGTTTGTCGTTTATTTGTGCGCGTCACTGTATTGTTTTCCTCTGGCAACTGTCCTTAGGCTCAAGGCCTCGATCCAAGGTGCATTGTGTAGCACCATGCAATTGTACATGAACACTACGATGGAGCAAATGAACTATTGTAAAAGAACTTGTCTCTTGACACCGTCCCTTGGTTTGATTCATTGTAGAATCACACCATCCATGCAAACATTGTTGAAACTGAAAAGGAACATTACCTAAAGGATCCAACGTTGCACAAAGGAAGTCATTTCCCACATAAGGCACCAGACGGTGTTGTTTGTAGAATGGCTTCGTTTGCGCCCCCAAACACATGCTGCACATGTGATCGGTTAAAGACACCGCGTTGGGCGAGATAAGTGTTTGCAGCAGACAGCAACGCCGATACAGGCGGCACAGTGGCAATCAAACGACATAGGAAAGGGCGCAGACGACAATTTTATGCCACCATGTCATGCTCCAGCGCCGGTTAATATATAGTGGCATGACTTTAAAGAGGCGCAGACTGCACGGTCACAGCGTTATAGTGGCAAACAAACGACCATGGAAAGGGCGCAGAAGAGACAATATATAGCGCCAACGCGACACCGTGGTAAACAAACGACCATGGGAAGGACGCAGACAGCAGCGTCAACACGACACCGTGGTAAACGAACGACCATGGGAAGGACGCAGACGAGACAGCAGCGCCAATACGACACCGTGGTAAACAAACGACCATGGAAAGGGCGCAGAAGAGACAGCAGCACCATCACGACACCGTGGTAAACAAACGACACAGCAACACCAACACGACACCGTGGTAAACAAACGACACAGCAGCGCCAACACGACACCGTGGTAAACAAACGACACAGCAGTGCCAACACGACACCGTGGGAAACAAACGACCATGGAAAGGGCACAGACGAGACCGCTGGCAACAAAACCCTTTCAGATATTAAACTGTATTTGTTGACCCTTTACAAATAGAAGGCAGGTCTTGATCTTTTTGGCGCGCTGCCCAAACGAAGCAACATGCACAAATGAAAACGAGGACTATACAAACGACAAGCGCGTGCATTTTAAAGGAAACTTTTTTGGGGCACCACCCAGGCACAGGGGGACAGACGAAACGGGAAGAGCGATGAAACCATGTCACACTTGGTCACGCAGTGGTGCGAATTTTCTTCTCATGTGCAAACTCTTGAGCCAATTGGTTGTTGCTTCGAAGGAGCTCTTGAGCCAACACTATTTTTGTACAA